GGAACCAGAAAGGATACTATCATGAGCAACAAATATATGCTCTTGGAGACATCCAGGCAATTGTTTAGTAGTTAAGATTAGCTAATGGAAAGCTTGCAAGTTTGCAACCCACAAGTGGAATTTGTCTGTCACAATTTAGCCAAAGTGTTGAAGCTAACTGTTTGCACTGATCATAAAACTGACTAGGCCCCAAAAATAAGCAGGATTACAAGATTAGCTGATCTAACACGTTTTTTAAAGGTCAGCCATAACAAGATCTGACCACCTACTATAGCATATTCCTAGGAATCCAAGGAATGACAAACCAAGGGGTTAAGCTTGGGCAGGTAATGCTAATTTCAAACCTCAAAGTAATGTGGTGTAATTTGCTTATTGGGTGAACTCAAGTTCGGGCAGTAAACTTTCATGATAATTTCTAACACCTTTTGATCCCATAGGGTAACAGCTATAGGGCAAGATTGTGAGTGGCTCTAAAGCCAGCAGATTAGCATAAGTTAAAGTATAAAGGAACACGCATGTCAAGTGACCAGTTAAAAGGACGGGACAGAAGGACCATCGCTGTACCAAGCCTGGACCCCGGACTCCCAGTGTGAGCGAAGACCAGATCCTGACCAAGGGACCTTCCCGGTGACCCCTTGGACAGCATTGATAGGCAACACCTGACATCGCTGGAACAACTTGGTGCGCACTGGCATAGAGGGACTGCCGATAAGTTGCCAACCCCATGTGGGAACTCTTTGTCATTCTGTCTATCTGTTATTATTCACTATTAGCTCTTTATTACTGTACTATCTATTTGTCACATTAACCTTTCTGTTAACCATTGTATGCTAAGCTATAAGTAATTTGCCTTTACTTCACTCCCAACTCGCCTCCTCAATCCCAAAACCAGCAGCCTAATGGCTGATACACTCACAGTGCCTAGCCAGCCTGTGACAGCACAAGAGAACACTAATGGGGGATTTAATAGCAGCCTTCAGCTCCCTGAAGGGTGGTACCAAAGAGGATGGAGCTAGAATGTCCTCAGTGATGGGGGATGACAGAAAAAGCAGCAAAGGGCTCAAGTTGCAGCAAGGGAAGTTTAGGTTGGATATTAGAACAAACATTCTCACTAGGAGGGGGATGACGCACTGGAACAGGGTACCCAGAGATGCTGCAGAATCTCCACTCTTGGAGATTTTTAGGAGCTGGGCAGACAAAGCCTCAGCAGGCATAATATAGGTGGGGTGGTCTTGCCTTGAACATGCAGTTGCACTACATGACTTCCTGAGGTCCCTTCCAACTCTAATATATTTTCACTCCAGGTGTCTTGGAACATCAAATTAAACACACCATGAACAAAATGTGACCGTGGAAGTGGAACAGAAAACCATGGTTAGTCAAAACTGTATACCGTGGTAGCCAAAATGGTATACAGAATATTATCATGGATACGCAAACCCATGGTTGGCGAAGGAAACCTGTATTTTCATTCTGTGTGTCTTTGAACAGCAAATTAAACACACCAGGAACAAAATGAGACCATTGAAACAGAGGCTCCTACCACATTAACTCCTCACTATTCTGCGATTTTGTCACAAATTTCCTTGACCTCTTCATTTAAGTATTTTACAGTATACTTACCATCATTTTGTTTATTAATGCAGTACACGATTGACCTACGTATGGTATAAATTTATCATGCAACTTTGGAGTATCTTGACCCATGCCTAACTTGCTTTGCTCTAAGTTAATAGTCCAATTAATGGAAATGGTCATGATTCCTATGACTGAAACCTTATGGACATGGCTATCAATTGTGTGGCCTTGGATGACTGACTACTGCACCAGCCGTTTCTCTCTGTCTCTTTGCTTTCCATCACAGCTACATATTCAACATCTTGTTGACACAATAAATAAAAAACA